TTTTACTGACTCTATAGTTTTGCTTTTCCAGAATGTCATATAGTTGGCATCATACCATGTTGTACTCTTTTTACAGTGGCTTCTTTCATTTAGTAATATAAATTTAAGGTTCATCCATGTCTTCTCATGACTTGAAAGCTCAGTTCTCTAATCACTAAATAATATTCCATTGTCTGGATGTACCACAACTTGTTTATTTATTCACCTAATGAAGGACATCTTGGTTGCCTCCAAGTTTTGGCAATTCTGAATAAAGCTGCTTTAAACATTTGTGGGCAGGTGTTTATGTGGACATCAATTTTCAACTCATTTGGGTAAACACCTAAGAGTGTGATTGCTAGATTGGTCATGTGATAAGTCTATGTTTAGTTTTGTATGAAACTGCCAAATTATCTTTCCAAGTGGCTGTCTCCTTGTGCATTCCCATTTCAATGCATGAGAGTTCTTGTTTCTCCACATCCTCACTGGCATTTGATGTCAGTGTTTTGGATTTTAGCCACTGTAATAGGTGTGTAGTGATATATCATTGTTTTAACTTGGAATTCGCTAATGAAACAAGATGTTGAGCGTCTTTTCATATGCTTATTTGCATCTGTGTGTCTTCTTTGGTGAGGTGTCTATCTAGATCAGCGGTTCTCAACCTGTGGGTCGCGACCCCTCTGGGGGTCGAATGACCCTTTAAGAGGGGTCGCCTAACACCATCGGAAAACACATATATAATTACATATTGTTTTTGTGATTAATCACTATGCTTTAATTATGTTCAATTTGTAACAATAAAATTGGGGGTCACCACAACATGAGGAACTGTATTAAAGGGTCGCGGCATTAGGAAGGTTAAGAACCACTGATCTAGATATTTTGCCCAGTTTTTAATTGGGTTGTTTGTTTACTTATTGTTGAATTTTAAGAGTGCTTTGTGTATTTTGGAAACTGGTCCTTTATCAAATTTGTTTACCGTCATTTACTTTTTATTTTATTGATTTTTATTTGAATTTATTGGGTAACATTGGTTCACAAAATCATACAGGTTTCAAGTCTACAAGTCAACAAAATATCATCTTCACAGTCTATCATGTGTCTATCATCCCAAGCCAAATCTCTCCATCCCCATTTTCCCCAGTTTGCCCACCTCCATCTACTCTCCATCCCCCTTTCCCTCTGGCTATCACCACACTGTTTTCTGTGTCTATGATGTATATGTATATGTGTGTGTGTGTGTTTTATATGTGTGTGCTTTTGCTTAATCCCTTCACCTTTTGTCCAACCCCCCAACTTTCCTCCCCTCTGACAGCTGTCTGTCTGTTCCAAGTATCCATACCTCTATTTCTATTTTGTTCTGTGTTTACTTAGTTTTTTTCCCCTGAAAATATTTTCTCCTAGTCTGAGGCTTGGCTTTTCATTGTCTTAATAGGGTCTTTTGCAGAGCAGAAGTTTTTAACCTACAGGAAGTCCAACTGACCAATTTTTAATGTAATAAATTATGCTTTTGGTGTTGTATCTAAATAGTCATTGTCAAACCCAAAGTCACCTAGACTTTCTTTTATGCTGTCTCCTAGAAATTTTATAGTTTTATATTTAGGTCTATGATCCATTTGAGTTAATTTTTATGAGAGGTGTAAGGTCTGGGTCTAGATTCTTCTTCTTCTTCTTCTTCTTTTGCATGTGGATGTCTACGAAATCTGGATTTTTGTAAGAAGTGTCCTGATTTTAAAGGTTGGATAGACATATACTGGTAGTGGTAGGAAAGGAACTAGTAAGTTGCCCCTCCCTCATCACATGTCTGTAGGCTATTTTTCCATCTTGGATCATCTCTACCTCTGTCATACCCCTTACCTGGAATGCTTTTTAAAAAAATTATTATTGATTTCAGAGACAGGAAGGGAGAGGGAGAGAGATATAGAAACATCAATTATGAGAGAGAATCATCTACCGGCTGCCTCCTGCATGCCCACCCACTGGGGATGGCGCCTTCAACCCAGGCATGTGACCTCCTGGTTCATGGGTTGACCCACACAGGCTGGAATGTTCTTCATCCACCCATAAAATCTTATCTAAGGCCTACTTCACATTTTGTCTACCCTACCTTCCCCAATACTCTGACTGGTGCGTGTACTCATCAGATATTCAGTTAATAGTTGTTGAACTCTAAACACACTTATAAGCTACAAGTCCCAATTAACACTGCCATATACCACTGTCTTTCCTCCTTAGCCAGGCTGTAAACTCTTTTTTTTTCATTTACCCAAGATAGCTTAGCATAGGTTTGGGCACAAAATAGGAGAGAATACTTGCTGACAATTTTGGACTAGCTGGACTTTTGTCCTGGCTTACCAAGTATCCTTTGATCTTCAGGAGGACCTGCCAAAGATTTAAACCCCGCGGTCTTGCCCTGGCATGGCTAGAATGGTGGCATCTCTAATTTTGATGCCTGACTTAGCACTATGCCCACACAAACAAGAGGGGCCTGATCTCCTTGGAGAATTAGCAAAGATTTACCAATGAGACAGCAAAATGTAGTCTCTGAAGTACCAAAGGGTGCTGAGTCACAATGTGTTTCTTTCATTATGATTGTTACACGGTCACAGTGATCGTTCCAGTCATTATGAAAATAATGAAAAACAAATGAATAAAATAAAAAGAACAGACCGTTTTCTGGTGACTAGTTCCCCACCTTATGCTCAATTAATAGTCAAACAAGCTAATGGTAATCCACCACCCTTGATTCTGTGTTTTGTTTTCATCGGCATCATTAAGTGTTCCCATTCAAGGCTCTCTGTGAACTTCAAAGTGAACACTGCTGAAGGGAATGAAAGGGTCCAGAACGGAGGCTGAGACCCACCGGTCTCAGTTGGCTTCAACTGAGCCCAATCACCATGGCACAGTGTGCCGACAGACTTCACAGAATCAATTTTCTCAGGGAACATACTGTGACTTCTGTTTGCCAGGACTACCCAGCCTGTATCCATGGCCACTCAGGCAAATTCCACGCAGAAAACAATGGGAGCCACAGCATCTCACTGCCCTGAGTGACAGAAATGGTCACTGAACCTACTGCAAAGCTTGCAGGACCTGTGCCTGGCCCGTGTTTGGGGCGTGGCAAACTCTGGTGTCTGCGCTGGGATCAGCACTCCTGCCTCCGGAACAGTCTGCCTTGAGCTCAAGACTCACAGGTGTCAGTCAGAACTTCCCTGAGCTCAGCAGGACCACAGTCCTGCTAGAAACACCATACATCTACCTCTAATCCCCCTCCCAAGAATAAAGGTAGAACTGTTCCTGGCATCACCTTCCCTTCCCTGGGAAAGCCCCTCCCCCCAAATCTGCAGCATGTAGGGAACAGCCCCTTGTATGGTGTGAAATGGATTGAGTCACCCCGCAGTGTTTTATGTAAAACAAATCACTAGACAATTAAAAATAAAAAGCCTAAGCCCCCTCTTCCAGGACCTGTTTAAAAGACAACCCCTTTCTACTTAGCTGCTCAAGCAGCCTCTTTGGACACACTGTACTCAGCAGTGACTCAGGGGGCTCCCAGCCCTTAGCTGCTGAAAACAAAGATTAAAGAAAACTAGTTGGTACGACAGCTAGAATCAGAAGATATAAAGCAACCTGGGCTAGAAATTCAACTTTGCTCATGCTGAGCAACAAATAACCTCAGCAACTGGTAGGTACAGAGATTAAACAAAATGGGGGTGCAGTGGGGAACAAGAATCTCCTTAATGGCTAGGAGCACCTGAGACATTCAGTCTGGCCATGGGGAGCCAGAGAAACTCACTGCCCATAACCTGAACACGTTAAATTATTTTGAGCTCTTAAGGCACTGGTTCACTTCTTAGTGAACAAACATATTACCAAAAAATAGGTAAGTCATTTAACTTCCTGAATATCAAGGTAGGATTTAAAGCCATACCTAAAATGAGACCTGACTTTCTCAATGTATGATTTCATCCTATACTGTTGTTGTGTTTTCTATATAATTACCTCTTAAGTCCACTTTAGAGTCATTTTTCCTCCCAAACCTTAATGTACCTTAGTCCCTTCTAAGGCAAAAATTGTTGGACCCATTTTGCACATCTGTAGCTATCTTAATGAGATAGAATGCTAAGGTGCTTTCATGCACACAACCTTAGCCTAGAGAGGGGCAGGAAAAGGCTCTGCTATCCCGACGCCTCAACATGTAAAACAACTGCCTGAGAGCAATCTGTGGCTGAACCACAAACTATTTTCACTAGAGAAAGGCAAAGTCAACTCTGCTTTTCCCGAGTCTTATACAACTGCAGCCTCAAAGTCCAGCTGTTCTGGTCATGGCCTCACATTCTTTCCGCAAAGGCTCCGGTTGACACGATTTATGGGGTGGTCTGAGGAAGCATGCTAAGCAATGTGGGATGAAACCACAAGGGAGGACTTTCTGGCCCTAACAGAGTACATCCAATTTCCGTGGAGGTTTGGACAAGCAGCCCCAAAACTGCCTGTGTTGGCTACGGGTACTTGAAACCCAAGAGTGAAGCAACAATGGTGCTTCTCTTTTATAGCCTCTGTATGTGATCACAGTCACACTAAGGTTGGAGGAGCTGAAGACTCAAAGGGCTACTGGGGGGCTTTTTTCTGGAACTGAACATTGTCAACACAGTCAGGGAGGAGGGAAACCAAGACAACATGAATGAAAGAAACAGACCTGGCTGTGATCTACTGAGCTACTACAGTGCCGGGATGTTCATAAAATCAAAAGGAATTGCTTTTCATGCCCAGCAGCCAGCACAGGCAAGAGCAATAGCCATCACCAAAGCCATCTCAGCAGGATGGTAAATCACAGATCACCAAGGCCAAGAAGCAGTATGTTGTGAATAATGATTAACCCATAACAAACTAGCCAAGCTCCAAGTTTAGGGAAATTTAAATAACATTCATAGGACAATGCTCAAAGTCAGACTGGGCCTGAGAGCAAATTCTCAGCAGAATTGCTGACCGAGGGCCTGCTATGGCAGGCAAGCAAACATACTTACAGTGAGTTGGGCCGGGTGGGTTTGAGCACATCCAGGTCTGGGTCACTGGAATTCATGTTGGGCTGTAAGCTGCTGCTAGAATTAAGGATGCTGTTTGCATTTGATGAGACGACAGATTCCAAGCTGGAGTTAATGATGCTGTTTCTTTGTTCCTCTGGGGAAAAACGAAAGGCCACAAGCCCCATATTAATATTATTTTATAGGGGTAGTCTGTTATCACATATATAAAAATTTACAAATACTGAAATTGGATTGAGATCTCTGGGCCAGTGAAACTAAACATGGGACATAGGAAAGGATGTGAATTACAAGTGGGAAAGGAATCAAAGAGGAATAGGTCACCTGAAATTTTAGAGTAAAACCCCTCCTTAGCTTGATAGGACATACCTCCTCCCTGCCCTCCCCTTTAATTTGACCAGCCTTTTTCCTAAGAGTAGCCCTACCACTGCACCATAAGTTGTGTCTTATTTTGACTGACAGATGGTCAGAGCACAGAGCAGCCTTCATAGCCCTTGGTGTTCAACCAGATCCTCTTGGTTTCTGTGACATTCACCTTTTATTCAAACACTCCTGCCCCAATGTTGTCTAAATTGCACAGACCACATCCTACCTTTGATTCTATAGCAAGTAACCATAAACATCTACTATTTGGCCATCTACTTCCTTATGACTCTGTAATCTAAATTCCTGATGCTCCCTACACATACCCTCTGGGTTGCTGTAGCTCTATGCAATCGATGTTTAGCTTCAAGTTAGTTCTTTGATAAAAAGATGTGTAAGGGCTACAGAGTAGTTTGCATATAAAAAACTGAGTCCAGGGTCCAAGCACTCATATTAATGCTTGGAGTATATTACCAGGCCAGGAGGGAGAAACCTGAGTTGTCTTCAAGGCTCCACCCCTGACTGGTAGTATGGCCTCGGGCAATTTTCACTCACACTCTGTTTCTTGGCTAATGCATCTATACAAATGGGGAGAGTGAGCTGTCCTGTGGATCAAGTGGGATCATTTGCAAGAATGTGTTTTGTAAACATCAGACATTGCTCAAAGAAAAGAACTTTCTTTTTGGTTAATCCTCACCCAAGGATATTGTTTTCATTGATTTTTAGAGAGAGTGGAGGGGGAGGGGGGAGAAAGAGAAACATGGATGTGAGAGAGACACAGCAATTAGTTGCTTCCGGCATGTGTCGAGACCAGGGTTGGGCATCAAGCCTGCAACTGAGGTAGTGCCCTTGACTGGAATTGAACCCGGAACCCTTCAGTCCCCAGGCCCACGCTCTCACCACTGAGCAAACCAACCAGGGCAAAGAAATGAATGTTCTGCTTCTTCCCCTCTTTAAAAACTTGGAACCACAACCTGAAGAAAACATTTTTGCTGTGATTTAGCTAAATGACACAGGTACCACTGCTATAGCAAAACAGGGGATTTAGAATGTCATTTTTGTCCCATATTACCAACAGATACGCCATATTGAAATCAATATGATGTTTTGAAATCAACTGATGTTTTGCGCAATCGATTCACTTATCAAGAAATATATCTGGGTCAATCTTCACTGGACTGTTGTGAAATGAGCCAGATGTGTACCATATCCCTAAGGAGACAGACTAGGCTCACTGACATGGTAGTTTAGAGGTGGACATTTGAACTCCGGTGTCTTTAGCCGATAAAGGGGGTGATGTCATGATAAAAATACTTCTTCCCTTACACTAGCCATGTCGTAAAAGGATATTATGCTTATGAAATGATGTTAGATTAATATTCACATTACACATACACACACACACACACACACACACACACACACACACACACACACAATACCCAATGACCCCCTAATAGCTTGGCAAATTTTCAATATCATATTTAAAGCCCTACAGGAGACTTAAAGAAACACCATGAAGCTATTGGGAGATTGCTTAACTCTAAGTAGATTTTGAAAAAAGTAGATTATTAAGTTGATTCCAGAGATTTAGAACTGTTCATATTTTAAGAGCTTAAATTCCAAACGGAAGCAACAATGAAGAAAGAGAAACCAAAAGAGTTACATTGAACTAAGATGTAGGCAGACTAATAAGGCCTGCAAATGGGAACCTGCTACTGAGAAGAAAAACAACTCTAAAATGACATAATTAGGGGATCATCTAAGGAATGGTTATGCCACTTATCAGTATGATTCAGTATAAGTAAAAATTTCCTTTGCACAAAGTACTCATATCAAGTCCTGCAAGACTGTGAGGAGCCCAAGACCACCATATAAAAAAAGGGGAATATGATACTTCTTTGGGGTTCAATAGAGACATTTTCTGCTTTATACAGGAGGAGAGATTAATAGTTTTATGAATTCTAGTTTGAGGCCAAGTTTGGATGACATATTCTCTGATGAAACAGAAGAATATAGCTGTAGCTCATATTTTTCTTGTGATTTTATTTACTTATCCATGAGAAGGTTGTAATTCTATAAATTAAAAACAGTATCTTGCTAAAAGTATATTAGTTTTTCTACAATATTATCAGGATTTTTTTCTGCCTTACTATCCATTAGAAAAGGAGTATTTGAAATGAAACCTTCTTCAATTTTTATGTATTCAATGAATGTTTAATGAGTATCTACTGAGTAGCAAACATGGTACCCAGTTAGCAGACTCTTAAATTAATTCCTTGGTATTTTATTCAGATGCCTACTGGTATATTTATTAACTTGCATATATCTACTTAATCATATGTTTACCTTATTTGGTAGACTATGAGCAACCTAAGATTGGATATCTGACAGATAACACTTTTAAATCACAATTGAAAAAAAACATTATATAAAGATGCTTTGCTTTATAAAATAAAATATTTTATCAGAATCCTAATGCTCATAAAAAGATTTCATTCTGAAAACTAGACTTAGATAAAGATTTTAAGAACACATCTCCTATTAGTTTAATAGACTGGGGTTCTCCATGACCTAATGGGAAAGGCTGTAGCATATGAAACATGGTATTTGCCTGAATTAAACTCACAAGGGAATGAGGATGGGGTAGAAAATGAGAACGTGACCCTCCCTGGGCTAGGAAAGTCAATAGAATAAAACAGGTGGCTACACCCAAACTGAACTTGGGGATTTCTAGCATTCCATTTACTGAAGGACATTAGAATTCTTTTTCTAAAAAATAAATTCTTTTTTAGGTTCTATTTGGGCTTATATTAAGATATCTAGAATCTTTCACATATGTCATAACCTAAAACAAAACAACAACAAACGCAAAAGGTCAGGGAAAGGAATTCATTGTTCAAGAAGAGAACAAAATATAATTAATCATAAGATTTCATAGTTTTATAGCCAAGACAGCCAACTATGCACCCTAAAAGGCATCCTCTTTATTGGTCTACCTGGGTGAGCCATGTGATAAGGAAAACTGGAAATCTGGCACTCTGACTACCCGACCATCACAGTTTCATTGGATGCAAGACCTCAGCTAGTAAGACTGGGAACTCCTAGTGGATACTTCTCAGATGAAATGCTGACAAGTCTTACTGAGGGTGAGCAAGAAGGTGAAGATTATTCCAGAGATGGGGGAGTGAGAAGAGCAACAGCAAATCAAATGTCTTAGTAGTTGTGGCAAAATCTAGAGCAGCGGTCGCCAACCAGTGGTCCGCAGACCACTGGTGGTCCGTGAGGTCTGAAAGTTTGGCGATCACTGCTCTGGAGAGACTAGTTCTTAAGCATTTGAAATGAATTAAAAAATAAAGAGAAAATGATTCAGTAATGTCACTCAAAACAGGAGGATTTTTGTCAGGTGGACAAATGAGTCCTTGCTCCTGACAGAAAAACATGATGAGAATAGGCAGCCTAAAAAGTAAAAATAAAATAAACCAAATCATTCAAATACGAGAGACAGCTGGACTTGGAGCCACTGATGATTCACACCAACTCTGCATCTTCGTAAGAAGGTACATATAAGAAGGACTGATGGCAATTACATTAATGAAGGAAAAAATTATAAACTACTGGACTGAAAAAGAAAAACAACAACCGGTTATGAGTCAAATCAACAAGATCACAGAGAACCATTTAAATGACCAAGAGAGAAAGAATGCCCACAAGTCAGGAGTATTCCTAAACTGGTGGAATTCAGTGAAAATGCTTGCCTTCCTCAAATATGTTTGTCAACAAGAATCTCTCTTCATAGTAATCACTGAAAACAAGAGCTCAGAAATTAGGAAATGATAAAAGCAATCTTCAAACAATTGTAAACATCTATGAGTAATGTATTGGATGGTTTCAGGAACATATGTTCTACAAGGAGTGACAAACTGGATGTGGAGCTGGTCCTTAAAAATACAAACTACTCAAGGGCTGGGGCACATGTGCCCAAGCAGAAAACATCCGGCATCCGTCACAGTGACTCGTGCGGTCAGCATCGGCTCATCCATTCCTGCTTAGTCTGTGCATAGTGTCTGCTAAAGCTCCACGAGTACGTGTAAGCTAAATAATAAATACAAGGCCACAATAAACAATCAAAATGTGTTCTCCTAGAACAGAAAAAGGCAGTTCTGTATGACTGGATTTTTCAGGTGTGTCCAGACTGGGACCGCTAATGTCCTTAAAAACAAAGTCCTGGTTACAGGGGGCAATGTTTTTTGTATAAATCAGGAGCGGAAAAACATGAGTATGCAACCAAATCACTGCAACTAAAAAAAGAAAGCCACAGAGTAATTTTGGTGATATTGTACTTGTTCTGGGGGTTGCCATGGAAATCTGGGAGCTAAGCTACTTCACTTTCCATATTTACCAAGTGTCTCCTGCTTGCTCTAAATGACAACCCACCACACACAAGAGGCAGGGTCTCTGTTTACCACAGAACCCAGAGGCGAGGCCAGGAACGCACACGCAGCGCCAAGCTAAATTCACACGTCTCGGCAGGCCTGAACACGTCTGGCCCACTGGATGCACAGAGCTGAAGAAGAAATATGAAACACAGACCTTCGAGGTCACTTTGGGGAGATTTCCCAACATGCATGGAGGTCTTTCAGAATACAGGCTAGCATCTCATCTTTCTGGATGTCCGAGCCTTGCTGGCAAAAAGGAGGGGGAAGCTGACTTTTTTTTTTTTAACAGCAGCTCATGATGCCTCGCAGAGCCGGAAGAGGGTAACTCTCTCTC